TATATATATAGCAGATGGTGAGAGGCGGATCGGGAGGAGGAGGAAGCCCGATCGGGCTAGGGCCGAAGGCAGAGCCACGCACAGGAGCGACTTGGTCGGCAGGGTTGGCGTCGGCAGGTCCGGCGAAGTCGGAGGCAGGTCGGCTGGCGGGTCGGCTTTGGGCTCGGTGACGTGGATTCGACCGGGTCTAGGGCACGTCGGGTTCGAATAGCGAAGAGCAGGCAGTTGGAGGTCGGAGATGGCCGGAGCAGATGGGGTCAGCGATAGATTCGGCGAGAGGAAGAAGACGGATGTCAGAAAGGTAAGTCGCCGAACTCCTTGCTTGCGATTCCTTGCGGTTCTGAGAGCGTATGTGTGCGTGAAAAAGCGAATAAGAGAGAGCGTTGTTTTTTAAGTCGTGAGTATGTCGGTTTTTGTCGAGAGAGTTGGTGGGCGAATCGTTGTGTCGTTTGGCGACCAACTGCCCGCGATGGGGCCAGATTGGAGGTAGGCGTGTTGCTTTGATTTTTTTTTGTTCTAATTTTTTTTTATACAGTCAACACCTCTATTTAATTCAATGGCGATAATGCCAGGTTTACCTGAGCTCCATTGAATATGTTTAAGAATGAGTAGCCAAATCTTTTAATGAATAAAATTAATATTCAGTATGGATGTAAGAAGAATTTCTGGGTAATATCAAATGAGAATTATGAAGCTTACTTAAGTAGTATAACCTTTATTTATGTTTTCAAGTTGCAATTTAAATGTTATTTCAAGTTGCATCACTTATGGAGTCTCATAGCTCACCAGTAGTTTATTACTGGCTGTTGTTATAGGAAAAGGAAAAAAATGTGGATGAAGACTAATCTGCGAGTATTTAAATTTTATGTTAATGTTTAGTCTATGTTTGAAGTCTACTTATGAGGTTAGTAAGCAATTTACATGTTGTACTACTTTGATTTGGTTTTGACTTCCTTAGTGGCTCTGTAAATGTTTTTATTGAGGTTTTAATTTAGAAGATGCTTCCGTTTATGTATAAATGGACTTATGGTTGGATGTTTTACATGAAATTCTAAAAAAAAAAGTTGTATTAAATGTTTTTTAAAAGGATAAATGATTATGTGATGCATGCTACACTCAATGGTACTATTTAGGAGTACTGTAGGGTGTTACACACCATACGTCCAACATATGTCCCACCTATGTTGGGCGGTGTCCAACCTTAACTTGGGCTTGAAATATATTTTATCATATGTTGAAATGTGTTGGAGGCATTTTAAAGTGTTAGTTTCTTAATAGGATAAATACTTATCTAAATATATTACATATGCATGGAAAGTAATAGTATATGTTTATCAAAATTCTCAAGATCCAAGTAGTGGACTAATTTGAAAGTAGTATATAAGATATTGGTCGAGAAGTGTCTCATGAGTTAAACTTAATGAGCCAATGAGTCAAACTAAGCCTACCACTATTTGACACATATACTTGCAAACATCTTGTTCAAAAAATTCATACTCACTATATGTTATAAAACTATAAGTCAAGGGATTTTAAATACAATGTTATGAAACCCCAAAAACTCTATTTCCCTCTTTTACCCGAATTTCAAATTCATTGTTGTCTTACCAATTTACAAAAAAGACAAGTAGGCTCATGGACCAACTAGAGCAAATTAACTAGAAACCGAGCTTGATTAACTGAATCAATTCAAAAGCTCAATCTATGGGTAAATTGAGACTCATTTAAACTCTTGAGAGAAGTTTGACTAGAAGCTCTAGGAAACCAATGATTATTCAATCCTATGTTTAAGTTGGCATTAGATCACGATCAAAGCAAAGATGGAAACAAGTGGGTTAGTTGAGTCGCAAAACCCACACTACTTACTTTTTTGCCAGCCATTACATGTCAAACACTATCCATTTTGAGTAGCCTTGACTGAAGATGCAAGAGGTCAAGTACCTCTTGCATCGACATCTAAACACTAAATTACAACTTTACCGAAACAAAAACAAATAAAATAACTCTCATAACTCTACCAATCATATACTATACTTAGGAATAAAAGAACTTGACAACACAGCAATTAAAGTGACAAAATATTTTCAAATCGAAGTAGAATTATATCAATAATGAACAATGCCTCTATATATCTTTTTTATTTATTATGGATGTCTGTAAAGGAATTTCAAAATGAGATATACCTTGATGCATGCTTCATACAAATGGCATATAACTAATGGATAATGCCTCTTTTGAAACAAATAAAAAAGTTGTTCAAAACTTAGAACAATAGAGTAAAGTTTTTTGAAGATGTGAAGCTTAGGTTTAATACCAAAAAGATCAAATATATGACATGAAATTAGTGGGCATGACATTATAATTATCATACATTATTCCTATATCCAACAATGCCTACATATGATAGGATTAAATTTATAAATCTACTATAAAGAATGATGGGCATATAGATGAATAGTAAGATAACCAAACCAACATTATTAAAAAGCCAAAATAGACTTTCAAGCTCAATTGATTAAAATGCATATTTCTTCAAACTGATATCATATACATATGCGTACATATGTAATGTACATGTATATATACCTGTATGTGTATGTAACATCTTACACCCATTACCTACCCTAAAGACATTTCAGTATTACCCAGAAACACTTAAATTGCATCCAGTTGGATCTACAAGCTGGATTCACCAAAATCGCTAAACTCAAACTTGGTTTTTCTAGTTACTCAAAAGGTTAGCAATTGCATACCCATACAATGACTTGAACCTGATATGCATTCTTATGCTAGGACTACAAATCATTATTAGGATTGATTGCCAAAACAACGTCATGAATGAACTGATACTAGAAGCTTTATAACTTCAAAACATGGCTTGGTCTGAACAAACCCAAACGAATTGGTGTAATCAAAAGCACGATCCATAATACTTACCAACTTTGATGCACCATTACTTGATAATAATAATAAAGTGTATTATATATGACGCGTGTAAAATACGCGCACTTGCACGATAGATGCCCAACACTTGCCAAACATTCAATCTGTGTCCATTTAAAGACAAAAGAAATAACAAGCACATGTGCCCTAGATAATAAATGTCAACATTAAAATTTTATTAAATAAATAACTTAACCCTCCTATTCCCATTTATTTTAAAATATATTAGTTAAATAATTTTATAGCTATTTAACATTAATTTTATTTTTCTTATCCTGCTCTAATTTTTTCTTTTTTTTATAATGTATACATTTTAATTTTTTACAAGAGAATCAAATTTCTAAACTTCAAGCTAACAATCTACACTATCATATGGTTATTTTTAACTTTAATTGAGTATATGGGGATTATTAAATTTAAATATATTTCTTATTTTATAAGTAATTAAAATAAATTTATAATTAAATGAATTTATTTTATATTTATTATATTTGTGTGATTATTACATAATTTTTTTTTAATTTTCAAAGAAATTATTATAATGTTGTGCCTATTGCATGTTTGACCTATATTTTCAAAAATAGATGTGTCATATGTCCCATCTCCCTAAGTCCGCATTGATCCATCATAGCTTCCAATAAGACTTGATTTAATAAAACAACGGTATGCTATATAACTAAATTTTTTTTGCATCTTTCAGTCTTAAACAATCAGCTATTCAATAAAAACAAAATAATCATATCTTATCGGAAAAAAACACAAAGGAGAAAAAGGAAAACAAACTTATATATTTTAAGGTAGACAATACTATATCTATATTTAGAAAGATAAGAAGACCACCTGATTAAGATGAGAAACGCGTTGAGAAAACACATTTATCAGAAAAGGAATAGTAATCTCAGCAGCAGCTCGAGCAATAACAGCATATGACTCCAACCTTTCATCTCTTTCTACAAGTATAGAAAGACAATTTGAGAAACAGTTCAACATAAAATTTAACACTGATGAGCAAAAATTGACTTGGCAGAAGAGGACACATGCATACTTGAGACAGATGCAACGAAGTGCTCAGCATTGTCATCCTCATCATAGGCGGTTGCAGCAGCAGCTGTAATACAAAATCTATATGGTGAGATTCCTAGATGAACTACCAATACATATGAAGCCAGTTGAAATTTTACAATACAAGGAAAGATTAATAAATTTGAAGTACCACTAATGCTCAACAGTTAAAACAAGACAACAATACCTTCCAGATAAGACTCCACAATATTGTTGAATAGTTTGGCAGATACAGCTCGTCCTTCTGCTGAAATTGAATTCTTATCTCCATCTGATGTCTGATGACAGAAAGAGAAGCTCTTAACATTTCTTTTAGAACTAAGGAGACCAATACATAAAAAAAGGGAAGAGAAACATCATCCAGGAAAAGCTTAATCAATTCAAAAAAGTAGATTAAATGGTCATGGACAAAGTTCCAATGTTGAACCTAGTGAATTCAAACTAAAAAATAATATTAGAGAACACTACAAAGGCTACTCATAATTCTATCTTATCTTATATATATATATATATATATATCTCGAGCTACTATGAAGCCAAACATGATTGAAGTAGGCCTTGCTCATGTTTGGCTGGCTAAGCAAATGTGCTTATAAAAATAATTTGAACTCGAGCTAATTATCAAGTTGAACATGATCTAACACGAACAACAGCCTTTTCAGACATCCCTAGTTGCTAGTGTTAAGACATGGGAGGCTATGAGTTTAGTCCCACATATGATATATTAAGAGAGATGGATGTAGTTGCTAGTGTTAAGGCATGGGAGGCTATGAGTTTAGTCCCACATATGATATATTAAGAGAGATGGATGGTTTTGTATATCTTATTCACTAGAGAACCCCCTATATAAATTGTGAGCTCTGATGCACCGACACTTCGTTTTAAGAGGGTATGCAGTGTCGGACACGGACACGGACATGCGTCCGACACAGCGAAGACACATGTCGGACACGTCATTAGTGTGTCCAATTTAAAAAACAAAAAAATTAAACCGGACAAGCGTGTCGGACACACGTGTCCGGCCATTGTATAATTAAATAAAAAAAACCCTAATCCCGCTATTTCATATTAGCTGGTTCACACCCGAGTCTTCATCTTCGCCTTAATCCCGTATTCCTATTCTTATTCGTGGTCTTCCCAAGCGATTGAGGCGAGCAGCGGTCGGCTGGAGATCCCACCCTTGGTCTTCCCTTCCGGCCATAAGCAACAAGCCATCCTCCTTAGTTTCTGCGCGCAGCCGAGGGAAGCCGACGTCAAACCGCAGAAAATTTTTCAAACCTGTAAGTTGATTTCACCATTTTTTTCTCCATTCACCATTTCTTTTCATTTATCAATAATTCTGTAGATTTGTGATCAGGAGAGCATATTTTTTTAGAAGTATTTTATTTGTTTTGGATTAAAATTACTCTTAAAATAAAAATTTGTTTATTTAATGCGCTTTCACTGTGCTTTGGTTGTGCTTTCACTGTGCTTTTGCTGCGCTTTTTTAGCTCTTTTGCTGCGCTTTCACTGCACTTTTGTTGTGCTTTTGCTACGCTTTCATTGTGCTTTGTTGCGCTTTCACTGCGTTGCCCCTTGACCCCGCGACTTGACCGGACAGGTCAAACCCCGCTAGGGGGCAGCGCCCCCTTGGACCCCCGGCAGACCAGTATATTTTTTTGTTCTTTAATTATTTTTAAACTTTGTTTGGCAATTTTTAATTGTTTTACAATATGTCACCTAATTTATTAAGCCTTTATTTCTTCTAATTCACCAGTGAATTTAAAAACAAAATGAGCTCTAGTGCTAGTGGGAGTGGTTCAAAAGAGCCATCTGTAGAAATTGATAAAATATTATGGAATCATGTTACAAAGTTAGGAAAAACATTTGAAGGAGGGAATGTGTCATTCAAATGCAATTATTGTGGTGGCACCTACAAAGGATCTTATTCTAGGGTTAAAGCACATCTACTTAAGATTTCTGTCCATGTAATTAAAATGCGCCCTAAGATTACTACGTCACAGTTGATTGAATTGAACAGACAAGTTGATGAAGCTGAATCTAGGATCAAAAGGGCACTTACTAAAGAGATATCTTTGTCATCTACACATGGTTCATCCAACACTTTTTCCTCATATGTTAGAGTTGATCATTCATTATCATATAGAAGTGAAGGATATGATTCAAAGAAAAGAAAAGGAGTTGTCAGTAGTGCTTTAGAGAAGGCTTTTAACATGCAACAACGAGAGAAATTAAATGGTGAAATTGCAAGGATGTTTTTTTCAGCTGGACTTCCTTTCAACCTTGCAAGAAATACTCATTACAAAAATGTATTCACTTTTGCATGTAATAACAACCTTGCAGGTTATGTTCCACCTAGATACAATGTATTGAGATCAAAATTATTGGAAAGAGAAGAGCACATATTGAAACATTGCTTGAACCAACAAAAAGTGTGTGGAAAGAAAAAGATGTCACTTTGATGTGTGATGGTTGGACTGATCCTTAAAGAATATCACTCATTAATTTCATGACCGTTACAGAGAATTGCCCAATGTTTATTAAAGCTGTGAATTGTGAAGGAGAATACAAGGATAAATATTTCATTGCAATTTGATTAAAGAGGTGATAGTCATTATTGGGCCTTCAAATGTTGTGCAGGTTATGATAGATAATGCACCAGTGTGTAGAGCTGCAGGATTGTTGGTGGAGCAAACTTATCCTCATATATTATGGACTCCATGTGTTGTGCACACTTTAAATCTTGCTCTAAAAAATATGTGTAGAAAAGAAAACAGAAGCAAATGAAATCATCTATGCTAAATGTTATTGGATAACAGTGGTTGCAGATGATGCTGTTTGATCAGAAATTTCATTATGAACCACTCAATGAGATTTCCAATGTTTAATAATTTCTCACATTTGAGAATGTTAGTGATGAGGACATCATCAGATATTTCGACACATGTACCATCAAGAAACGCCGGAGATCAACGGCCACGATCATTTTATTTTGACTCATTTTTGTAGTAGTTGATTTGATTTTTATGTTTTTCCGTTTTTGCCCTTATGGGTATTTAGTCGTTATTGTAGCCCGATGGGCATTTTAGTCTTTTGCTTTCTTGTCATTTTGAGGCCTATTTATATGGCCCTTTTCTTATGTAATAGTTTAGTTTTTGATGAATGAAAATATTTGCCACTTATGATCTCTTTGTGAGTTCACCCTCCTCGATCTCTTAGTGAGTTCGTAGGAGAAGCTAGATCTCTTTGTGAGTTCTAGGTTTTCTCGTCCTTCTCTTTTCTTTTGTTTTGTTTATCTTGATCAAGTCATCGTTGTGTGGATTTGGATTGGAGCCTCTTGGAGGAAGTTGGGATTTCAATTTTGAATCCCTAAAATTCTCCCCACTACCTCCCCCGCCCCTTCTCTTGCCACCACCCCCTCCCAGGAATACCCAGGCCGCCAGCCCGACGCCCCTCCCCTCCGTCCCCCGCCAGGCTCCACCATTGGCTGGAACCCCGTCCAGGCTGACAACCCTCCTGCCGGCACTCACAACTTTCCCAGCTTTGCCGCCGGCCCTTCCCCCTCCCATCCTCTGTGAATTCCAAATTTCCTGGTTTAAGTGACTTTCCTAAGATAGCTTCTATCTATTTAGGAAATCATTCATTGGGATTTAATTCACATTTGAATTT